CGCTCTTGAACCTTTTCACATCTTGGATTCCAGATCAGGTGTCTTATCTTCCTACACCAGAAGTTGGAGAGCTTGTTAAGAATTCTCCTAGATGTAACCTTGGGGATCTTTAGTGATCAAAGAATATTGATCCATTCTTCGATATCTTCTTTTGCCCAAAGACCGATGGACGTATTAATTATTTCTTTAGCCGAGTCAGATTTTTCCATTTATTATAATCTTTAATCTTGACAAATTAAAAATTTAATATAGATATACTTTGAAAATATATTTTTTTTATTTTGATCTTGATTAGATTTTCTAATATATAAACTTTTATTGAAATAGTTAAATTTTTGTTTTATCAATATTTGATATTGTTAATTTAGACAAATATAAATATATAATTTTCTCCAATACTTTTATAATCTAAATATACCTTGATAAATTTAATTGATTCTGGAAATATATTTGAGCTAATTTAATAGTTTTATTTTTTTACTAATAGTTGCTAATATATCTTTGCTCTTGATCCAATATAGCTTTTTGTTAATATTGCTTATGTTTACTTGCCAGTTTTATTTTTTTGAATCAACTAGTTTATCTATTGTAAAGAGTAATCTGTTTTGTAATATCCAATTATATCTTATTTACAAAGGGTAAACAAAAGTTTATGGATAACTTTAAAAATTAAAAATTAAATTAAATTAATAAAAAATTAAATAAATAAAAAATATATTTAAAATCTTTAAAAACTAAACTTTTAAATAAAAAACTTTAAAAAAAAATTATACAATAGTTTTTAAGAAAATTAAATTTAAAAAATTTTTTAAATTTTTTATTTAATGGCTATAATATGTAAAAAAAAAATTAAATATCTAATTATATATTTTTTTATTATTAATTTATATACTATTAATTTATAGATATTTACATAACTAATTATATTTTTTTTAATATTTTATAGCTCTTCCTTTAGCCACAATACAAACCATAATACAATATGATATACTCTTAATCAATTCTCAAGCTCTATAAATTATTTGGTTTGACTTTACAAATTCAAACTTTAATATAATGCCAAAGATTTTCAATTATATTAAAATTTGAACTTTGAAAAGGCCAATCCATAATTCAATTATATTAGCAAGAAATTTCTTCATAATTTTTCTTTTATATTAAGTGAGGCCTTCCTTATACTTTATTGATTAACACATAATTAATGTAATACATTTTTTTACAAAATCAAAAAAAGAATGAAGTATATGACTATACATATTGGCATGCTACCATAGACAGATATATCATTTGAAAAACCTTTAACAGGGAAAACATGGACTCCAACACAGTAGCAGAGCACTGGTATAGGCTGCCAGATTATGGGGCGCAACTCCCTGGTATTTCACTTCCACTCAAAATAAGATTACTTTCATTCACATTGATCAGGCTTTAGCTGCCTTTTTTCTTTAACGGTAGTATTGCTGCTCGTGGGGCACAACTTCATTGTTGAAAATAATAAGTAGGTTTTGTGTGGTTAGGTATTGTGTAATGTGGCTGTGTTAAAATAGATTGGGTATTGGAGCCAACTCCAATTGCTTGTTGTGTTTTGGATATATGTTAAGTTAAAGATTACCAGAACCCATACAGGGCACAGATCATGCGCTCTCCCAATCTGGTAGGTGTCAGTTTATTGTTATTGTTATTGTTGTTATTGAGGCTATTGTCGTTATTATTTGTAGATTATTATTGATATTGTTGTGGCTATTGACATTGTGTTGGTTGTTGTGGATTATTATTGATATTGTTGTGGCTATTGTCATTGTTGTAATGGATATGTGAGAATTTTTTGTAAAAAAAAAAGGTTGTAAACAAGTTTAAGCAAGTATTTTTTTAGTTAAGGGTTATGAGTGAGTTTGAACAGGTATTGTTGTGGCTGTTATTATTGTTATTATAAATGTGTGAAAATTTTGTTGTGGAAACTGGTTGTAAACGAGTTTGAGCAAGTGTTGTTTTTAATTAAGAAGTGAAAAAATTTGATTGGTTGTTGAATATGTGTAGATCGTTTTTGTTATTATGTGTGTGTGTGAATTTTTATTATAGAGACTGGTTATAAACCGGTTTGAACAGGTTTTGTTTTTTGATTAAGAAGTGAGACAATTTGATTGGTTGTTAAGTATGTGTAGATCTTTTGGAGGGGTAGAGCTAGATTCATAGTCAGACATTCATATAATTGGCTGGTGTAAATCAATTGCCTGGATAACTTATTTATATAGTTTAAAGTACTTTTCAAGAATGTAACGTTTCATTAACAAAAAATCGTTGTAAAAGTTATTTCTTGCTTCGAAAGAATGTCTTTATTCATTGTACAAAATAATCAAAAAATAATCAAAAATCTTAGAATACTTTACTTAGAAGCAAAAATGTCGTCTACTAATACTATTAAATCTTGTGCTATTACTATTTGTAAAGGAAAATCGACTATTTGGAGAAAAGTAACTGAAAATGTTTTTTCCAAAGGTCAAGCTAATAATACATTGCCAAGCTATATTCATGTGGATGATGTGATTTGTATGAACTGTTATAATGGGATTGTAATTAACAGTTCAATTGAATTCCAACGGCATGCTCAAGAACAATATAGGTTTGAGGAAATTAGTGAAGCTAATAAAGCTGATAATACTAATGATTTTCTTTCTTTTTCTCAAGCTGTAAAAGTCTTAACAGATATTTTGTATACCCACGAAAATCGAGAAAAAAAACCAACGATATATTCTTTTGATGAATTCCGGGAGATTATGGAAGGTGAGGATATAAGATTAAAATCTTTCTTTGATGAATTGTATTTTTCATCTAGCCCGTCCACAAAAAATAAGAATTCACAGATAAGGGTGAAAAAACAGCTTTTATTTATATGTTTCTTTCTTTGTGGAATTCGGAACAAGTTTGTAAATAATGCAAAAAGGGATTTAACTATGTATTTAGATTCTACAGGTGTTTCTAACACTACTTTAGATACACTTTCTGATTTAGGTATAACCGTTACATCTCGTTCAATCACACGATATAAGACCGATGCATCTAAAGAACATTATGGGCTTGTTGATACTACACTTACTCAATATATAGAAAATGCAATGGTATTAAATATCGATGACTATCATAATATTCATACGGAACGGGTACCAAACACTACTACGACCTCTGATGTTGCACATCTTGCAACAATTTTGATGAATCCAATTACTACACAAAGAGCTATCCCACAACTAAATATACACAATTCCAAATTGGTTGATGCCGAATCTATTAAAATAAATTTAGAAAATAGATTTATGGAGTTATATGGTCTTTCACATAATCAACGCTGGGGATTTCGTGCAATTGATGACAATACAAGATTAGAAGAACTAACTGTGCATAGTTATGATATCCGGTTACAAGAAAAACGTCGTACCCGTTCCATGAAAGATGTCATTCTTATTGATCTCCAGAAAAATACGCTTCATTCTTTGGATGAATATGTTCAAGCCATTAATGCTATCACAAACATTCCATCCATGCAGCAGTATATCGAAAAAGGAAATATGATTCCTATCGTAGCAGATTGGCCTGGACAAATTTATATCAGAACGGCAATTTCACGTTATTTGCTTAATCATAATTTATCGAATATTACTAATTCTATTTTATCTTTTCTTCCTATTATAGGTCCTCTTCACATTTCATTAAATAGTCGAGAATTAATATTTCTTAAATATCAGCCTTTCTTCTCGTTTATGTATAGGTATATTTTTGGAGAACGAAAAATTCTTGTAGAAAAACCTAAGCCATGGCGCATCAATCTAATCTTGGAGATCTCTCGCAGTGCATGGCAGGAAATTTTAAAAATCGTTGAAGAAAAATTTGGATTCTGTAAAGACGCTGAATATTTCACACTTAAGGATCTTCTCGATAATATGATTCCTCTTGTTTTGGATATTTATGCCGTATTTTTTAGATCTGGAGATTTTAACACTTATTTTGAATCTTGCTTTCGTGTTTGGACAATATTTCTTAGGTTCAATCGCAAAAACTACACGAAAGCCCCACTAATGTTTTTCTCCGACATTTTCTATTGGGAATCAATTAATCATCCGATCCTAGAATCCATTAAAGCCGAACTTCCCAAATTCTCCGATTCAACCGTTGAAATATTTCATAGTTTCTTGCGCAGGAGTACACAAGAACATGACGATGCAGAGCAGATTATTAAATATGGTCATTATCTCAATAAACTGCGTCTTGATTGCAATGGATTTAGAGAAAATTTTGTCCACACATCTACATGGGCATCATATGAGTATTCTGCATGAGATATTACTAATTTAACCAAAAAAAGTTCTTGTTTTCTTCTACAATCTTTTTCAAAAATTTACACATGTGTATTTTGTCATCAATCACCATTAACAGTTTCGCGATTTATTATAGAGTCATCCAAGAAAAAAGGCAAAGAAAAATTCGACGGTACCATTTCATTAAATGCGATGGGAATGC